TAGGACCATCTGGAAAGACATTATTGGAAATAACTCAACCACTTCAAACTTCAACCAATCAGTTAGAAATAACGTAGTCAACCTCTTACTGAAGACAGTCGGGAGAAGAGAGAAAAACGTGTTTTCCATGGAGAAAAGCCTTTGTTTTAATGAAGAAATACTCCCCCGTTCTGATAGAACTGATGCTAGCAGCATCTATGCTAACCTGCTAACCTCTTTAGCAGCTATTTTTGTTTTTGAGATAACTGTCATTTCTCACACAGCTAGTGTTAAATCAAGACAGTAGCTCATGCCATAGCTGCCACTAGTTCCACATAGGATTGATCCAAACCACTGTGGTTGGACACAAGCACATTGTTTGAAGCCTGGCAAGATGGATTGTCACATGAGTTCGTGATCTCATGATATTAGTATGTCTGCTTTGTAAAGGTGGAGACCTTATTCTCTGGGCTGCATATCAAACGTTCACAGATGTTCACATGGCGTCTTTTATACTTTAACACAAGTTTGTTTTTTTCTGTTTCAAACCTGAATCCCTCTAGAAAGTAAAGAGACCTTTACACGGATCTTCGCAAAAACTGACCTCAACTGAATCTTTGTTTGACACATTTATAACCTCGACCAAAACGTAGAAAACTATGCCTCGAGAAAAGATTGTACAAGATTTGATAAGTGGACTCCAAACTGGATTCAGATTCAATAAAATACTTCTGAGTGGAAAGCAAACAACAAATGACTTGTGTGAGGGCACAGAGCAATAGCCAGCTCTGCCTCCTCTCTCCCAGCCACATCCGGTCCAAGTGTTTCTGCCTGTTCTGGCAGTTTGACTGGCATGCTGGGAGATGAGCAGGGAAATCAAACTCTCGCCTACACCGGCCTGGAGACTTTGAGACCTTATTTCTGACTCCTTCACGCTTCCTGCTCTCACTTTCTTTTCTGTCTTGTCATCTCGCTTCCCTCGCTCCCAGCTTGCTTTCTCTCGCTCTCCTCATCCCTTTGCTCTTTCCCCTCCTCCTCTTCGTGTCTCTGCGTCTGTCTGTACAGGGAGTCAGGGGAGCGCCCTAGCAGGAGGCCTGTCCTGCTACAACCCCTGCTGCTCCCCATTCATCTCCCTTCCTCCCTCCCCGCCTGCCTCTCGTTCCTTTCATCGCCCTCCTCCACCATATCTCATGCATTTCTCTTCCTTCGCTCAACTCTTTCTCCACGCTGCACATACTCCGTTGCTCCATTCATCTCCCACCCTCCCCCTTGTCTTCATCCCCATTCCAGTTTCTCTACAGCGCTGCTGTCGTGAACATCTGAGCTCTTCTTGTCACCTCACCTGTTGAGGCGGGGGAGAGGAATAATAATCTGCTGTGCTTCCTAGCAGGCTTTTTTTGCATACACTTTACAACTTGCACAACTTGACTCTCCACCTCTCCGAGTCAGATATGAGAAAATGTTTCCCTTTGGGAATCGCATGAAAGGTAGAGCACAGGCATACAGGGACACAAAGGAGTCAGAGGACTGAAAGCAGGAGTGAATAAAATAATAATGTGATACTGTACTGATCCCAGAGGACAGGGAAGATGTACTGGGACAAAGATTCAGCCCTGGACATCATTCCCATCATTGCCCTCAATCCATCCTCAGAACGAGTACACTTGCGCCTTGATTCCACGTGGCACGGCTCTACGATGTTGCGTCCATGATGCTGTTTTACTCATGCAGCTTCATGCGCCATTAGGAGGGTTTCAGAAATAGAGCATTTTGCCAGATTTTGTTAACTTGCTCAGATGTGGTTATATTTCTTTGATTTATGTGCATCTACCATGGGTAAGCAGGCTATACAGTTACAGTGCTTCCTTTTTGTCTTTTTTTACAATTGGGAGTCTGCACAGGGTGTTTTATTTTGAAAGTTAACAGGATTCTCTATGACATTTCTGTGTCTGACTTCCTGCCAGCTCAAACTGCTCTATACCATCAAATATAGATCAGCTGAGTATTCTCCACAGAGCAGAGCGGAGAGCTGCTTCTGGGAAGGTTTCGAAACGCACTGTAGCACTTCTGGTGCTAACCATTGTGTAGAACGGCCGCAATCAGCTCCAGCAGTCGCATCGCAGCTGTGCCTGCTGGAAGCAACATGTAAACCTCTCAGCTAGGGCTTCCCCAGGAAGTTGCTGAAAAAATGTGCTGGTAAGTGCTGCGTACCAAATCCTGGCGCACCTTATCTTGTGATCAATTTAGTTCCTAGATGATAGTCTAACCAGTCCGGTACTTGATGTGGCCTTGGTTGTGGGAATTAACACCACTGCTCCTTTTCCCTGAAGTTGAATATATTTCATAGAAGTGTAATATAATTGTAAAGTGTAATCGAATTGTAAAGTGTAATCGAATTGTAAAGTGTAATCGAATTGTAAAGTGTAATAGAATTGTAAGTGGAAGGGGCCACTGTATCGGGGGGTACTTTTCCCAACTCTAAACTCCCATTTCAATGTTTCTTTTAATTAAATCCTCAATATTATTTGGCTTAGAATGTTTACTGGATAATGTAACAATCCCAGATGATTATGTTTGGCCGTTTAATTATTTCTGAAAATATTTTTTTTAATAAAATGTAATACCACAAAACCCAAGAGCCTCAGCGGCTGCTGCTGCTGCTGCTGTGGAGCAGGAGCCTGTCACCGGTGTAAATCAGAGATGTATATAATTCAAAACCCTCTACTCCAATAAGGAACAAAACATCAGCACAACTGTTGCTGTAGACATCTAAAACTGAAAAACTGACCATTGTTATATCAGTTTTCTCAACAGCAGTGCTCAATATGGAGAATATTTTTGTCTAGTGTTAAATGCCAGTTTAATCACTGATGGATTAATCCAAATCACTTTAGTAAACAAGCAGCTGCCTCTTGTTTACATGTTATTTACATATGACCCTGATTTGTGTGTGCTGAACAATACTTGGCCTGTTGTTCAAGCTTAGGGATGGATAGGATGGATAACATTGCATCATCATACCCAATGTGTATGGCTTTGGGCTACAGGACATTGTAACAGGCCTTTTTCATACATTTTAAAGATGAATCGATTCATTTAGAATTGAAAGTAACTGTTAGTTGTAGCTCTAGTGGACACGTTTTCCAAGCAGATATGAGATTGATCTCAGAAAGTCAAAGAGGGCACTGAAAAATACACAATTTGTCATAAGTTAGGGAGGTACTTTTTCCTTTTTGAATTATAATGACTCCTCACAGACAGTAAAAGAACTGTTGAATAGGTATGAGGTGGTTGCGTTTTCCCCATAGGAAATTGCAGCACATAATACTCAACAGGGACAAAACCAGCAGCCCCTGAGGGACATGTCGTCTGTGTTTAGGCTCTGAATAAATTCTGCCCCTGACTCTGCTTCCCCAGTTCTTGCACTAGGCTGAATATTAAATTGAAAAAAAAATAATAAAGGCAATTTCATTCAGAAAAAAATCCGTAAGGGAATATCCACAGGCGATCAATTTACTCATCATCATTGCACAATGCTTTCAACCAATCAGCCAGCCTCGTAGGCTACAGGATAAATACTGAATGTAATTATATTCTAGGAAAGGGTTTTCTAGCGGTTTCCACTGACTCTAGCTGGACTGAACTGATGAGATGTTCCACTTCACCACACTTCATGGCTTTCCATTCATACATGTAAAGGTGAGGTGCAACATTGTGTGTTACTGTGTGTGTATATTTGCAGCCCATTCTCACTCCCAACTCTCAAGTCCCAATATGGCTGGTTGGTCAGTGGCCCTCCGCTTTAAAGTAGGCACCCCTCCTTTCTGGAGCCACCCGTGTAACATAATGGTTTGTGGTATGTGCCCAAATACAACTTATCTAACGTACTTCAGTTACATGGTAAATGGTAAACGGACTACACTTATATTACAATATAATATAGACCACTCAAAGCGCTTTACACTACATGCCACATTCACTCAGTGATAAGCATTCACACACTGATGGCAAAGGCCATCACAGTCAGAATAATACTCATTTACTAAAATCCATATGCCAATGGCACAGCATCAGCAGCAATTTGGTGCTCTAGCTCCTGAGCCACAGACGCCATACATTAGGTATGTAACGTAACTTATTTTTTCCTAAAACTAACCAAGTAGTTTTTGTTTACAGACCTAACCAGAGTGCAACGGTTTCACAAACCGCACAAGCTTTATTTTGAAAGTCCAACCAGACGTTGAATATTTATTGTTGCTAACTTGACCACGAAGCCCTCCAGACCGTACATGGCCTATTTAACTTTAACAAGCCAAGCTGCAGTCTTTCAGGAAGTACCAAGAGATGATTATCATAATCTCCGATGGCAAATAAACATCCATAAATGCACACTCCCTGTTATTCCACAACTTGACTGACAATCATCAGGTTTAAGTCACCAGGTGACTGTACATCTGTACATTGCAAACAGGAAGTGCTAATAACTAAATCGGCAAATAAAACAAATAAAGGCTAAACAATATGGGGCTCAAGTTGTTCACAGCTAATTCAGTGATAGAAAATGTTGTGTTTTCTATGCTCAAATTGTCTGGGACATGACTGCCAACTTGCAAATTCAGTTCAACTGCCTCATGTTGGTAGTTGCTTTCTCACCCCTAAAAAAACATACCGATACACTGATTTGTCTTCTGATACAGAGTTAAATAACATATTATAGGTTAAGCTTAGAATAAAACCTAGTTCAGTCCAAACATAAAATAATCTGCCAACCAGCACCAATTTCACTACAAAAATTTACATTTTTAAATAGATTACTGTTTTTTTATGGTTGCGCCAGACTATTTCTTGGTGTAGCAGAGACTCCAGAAAGGTAATTATGTAAACCATTTCTCATTTTTATACAGGTTTTATTCTTGGTAGTTCTCTGTATTGTGCTCCAGATGTCAAAGCCAACCCTTGAGAGTTCAACTCCTTGTCACATTCTCTGAGCCAGTTTGACAGTCGGTAGGTCGTGTACTTACGGCCTCGGTGTGGACAGGGTGCACAGCAAAGAGGAGTGCCGTGACGAAGGCCAGGCGCGAGTCTTCCAATGCGTAGCGCTCACATGTGTGCATGAGCAGGCAGGTTACGGCGCAGTGCAAACACACGTTGACGATGTGGAAATAGAGAGGCGTCATGCCGCCCAGCAGGATGTTCAACCTGACGGATAGACAGAGAGAGAAATATTCAGCACGGTGGGGATGACACAGGAGCTGACTGTGTGAAAGTGATTTGTTCGCGTGTAAAAGATATTAGAAATGAATAGAACTTATACAAAACAGACAGAAACAGGCTGATGGATAGATAAGCACAGTCAGTGTCATTCATTTTCCCATGAACCCTAACCAGATAAAGACAAAAACGGGTCAACCTTATCTAAAACAATCACTCAGCTATACACCGCTGTGGATTTACTGAGGGAATCTCTAAAGTAAATTACCTTTTACATTTCCTGGATTAAAGTGATTGTCTTATAATCCTGAACAGAATCTCAATCCATTTTCCGCAGTGCCATGAATTTCAAATGAAAAGAGCATGATTGCTTTAAGAGAGAATGTCGGCTCTCCGACACCAAATCACACCCTGCTTAAGATCTTCCAGCAGCTAATCCCTCAGTGAGGAATAGCAGTGAGATATGCAATTTTCACCTAGTATATCATAATTGGTATTACGCTGTGACAATTCCCTCTCCACCCAACAGAATATCAACAACCTGATAAAAAGAAAACAAAGAAAGAGTAGAGCGATGCAGTGGTTCAGGTTCCAGCTGTCATTCCATGATATTTACATCTTCTTGGCTGGGACCAGTAGCAGAGACTCCAGGAAGGTCTCAGCCAAGAAATAGCCACCCATATAACCGCTGTAAAATGACTGAATTGTTGTTTTCGCACTTTGGTTTTACTGTGCATTTGTACAGATTTTGAAACCTTTGGACAGCACCAAGCTAGCCGTTTCCCGTTTCCAGTTTTTATGCTAAGCTAAACTAACCAGTTGTGGGCTGTAGCTTCATATGTAATGGACATATACGAGAGTGGTGTCAATCTTCTCACTTAACGCGCCACCAGAAAGCAAATAAGCATTATTTTCCATTGTTCCTCTGCTGGGTGCAGGATTAGAGCAGGCAAGATGGCTGGCAGTGGCAGGAAAGGCAACGTCAATGCTCTTATAGTGGTCATTCCTTTTTATTTCCATTTTCTGAAAATAAAGTGTGGCTCCAACCTTCACCTAGGGCTGAATCATTTCATCAAATGATTGAATAGTTATAAAACATAATTGTGAATACAATTTAAATTATTATTTTCTATAAATTATAAGTTATCCAGTCATGGTCCAATTTTAAGAATATTTAAAATAATTGACTCAAAGCTTGAAGTTTCCCTTCGTACACACCTTGAATTAAGGCACTCAATGAGGTACGCAAAGTCATCTGTATGTTATTGCATATGCTAGCGGAGTTCATAGCAATATGATAGCCTGCTTTTCAGTGAATTTTCAGCAAGCTAACTGTCGGTAAGTGTAACAGCTTTTTTGCCTTAGAAGCAATGTATTATGCAAGATTTTTTTTTTTGGAAATGAGAGATGTGTTGCATTACACTGATTTTATTTGCGTATTTTCTTTGATCTAGTTCTCATGGCATGCTTGACTGCATGGATGTGCAACTAAATGCCCATGATCAAAATAATGCCCTGTGTTTGTGATTTTTCAAACACATTTCTTTCTTTCTCTGACTCTGACACAAGACGCTGGACTCTTGTGTTGCATTTGGCTTTACCACTGAGGTTCTGTCTGGTCAGGTCTTCAAGACATAGGTTTGGATTTGAGTTTAAAGTCTGTGCAGAACTCTACCATTTAAACACTTATGCCCGGGATACCTCCTGGTGAGACAGTCACTACTAAGAAGATCAGACTCAACTACAGTCTAGGGGAGATCCCAAAGATTCCAAAGATACCAAATATGTCAGTCTGAGTTGTGGGGAAATATGTAGAAAAACGAAAAAAGACAGCTAGAACCTGCATTTTAAGCAGCCATAAAAAGTATAGGTCTTTATATGTAGTCTACCCCCAAGGCATAGCTTTGCAGAACAGGAAAAAAAAACCAAACAGGGAGAGCTCAACGGAACATGGCTTCACATCTGAACTCCTTATCTCTGATTGTAATTGGTTCTAATGGGGTCCTCAGTGAGCTCTCATCTAGTCCATTAAGTTATGAAGGAGACTCTGGCCTCCGCTATCCCTCTTTTATCCATAATTCAATAAGGACGACCGATAAAATCTGCTTGAGTTTGCAGCGAGAGCCTTAACCCTCACCATTATCTCACCCTGACCTTAGCTGATGCTGATCTGCCCTCATAGCTGATGCGGAGATGAGTGTGGAACAAGTAAAGGGCCGTGAGATGAAATTCCCCGAAGGCCCAGCCTGGGTCCCGACCCATCCGTAAACTGAAGGCTTCAGAGGAATTTAAATTTCTCATTTGAGGCATTTTAGCTGATGTGCTTATCCACAGAGACTCACAATGAAGGAGCAGGTTGGGGTTCAGTGTCCCGCTCAAGGACATTTTGACAGGAAGCATGGTTGCTGATGGACACACAGGCTGGCTGCTGGAGAAATCTAATCTGTGACCTTTGTGTGATGGGCCGTCTGTATAACCGCTGCTCTCAAACATGAATAACAATGAGCCTGGGCCGACATGATGATAATACATCTTATCATCTGTATTATTCTGGAATTGTGTAGCATTAAAAAAACAAAAAAAATGTAATAACAGCTTTTGCGATTTGGAAATTGTGTTATATTACTGTGTATCTATTCCTATTATGTCAGGTTAAATTCTATTAATCGTTCAGCTCTAATACATAAATTGGAACAGACAGCACAAGTCTTTTATTTTTTGCCTTGAAACAAGTTATTTTTACATTTGTTGTAACTAGTAGTTTTAAAGGGGACCCATTATGCTCATTTCTACCTCCATATTTTGATATCTTTGCATGATTCAAAAAAATCCCCATTTATCTTATATTGGCCCTTTATGCAGACCCCCAGGTCATCCTCTGTCTGAAACAAGCCATTTTAGCTTTCGCTTTAAGCCCTAGGTTCACAGTTTTTAAAGTCTGCCTTAATGCAATAGTCAGGTGCTAATGTGAACATTAAAACAGGTTGTGCTTGCTGTAATTGGTCCTCCCATTCATACAGGTCATGAAGAGCTCCTTTCATAATGCCCTTCCAATTTTAGTGATGGGGGACAAAATCCACAGTCATCGTTCTGGGCACGTATTCTAAAGTTCATCTGAAGCTAATATGAGGCTTCAGCAGTCTGCGTTAGATAGATCAAGTGGATATCTTCCAAAGTTACAGAGGCTTAATGTTCACTTCAAATCAACTCTAAAACACATTTTGGCCCAAAACAAGGACTGTGTTGTTCCAAATTAGGCAACCAGAATTGAAAATTCACATTCACACACATAATGTAGAGTCACCAGTTAACCTAAACTGCATGTCTTTGGACTGAGCAAGGGACAATATACAGTATAATCGCTTATTGTGATAAAAAACTAACTGAATTTCCAATATTGTGATAATCGTGAATATCTTTACATGGCTTGAATTAAAAAAGTGCCCTAGCTCGCCAGCATACACAGTCTTATATTCCCAAGGGGAACCTGCAGCTTTCCAGACATTTCACCATTGTCACCATGGCTGGAGGCTCGGGTGGTCCATTTTATCCCCCATAAAACATTTAAAATGGATGTGTGGAAATAGTATAGACTCAAAAATAAAAAACAGGGAGAAGAGGTGACTATCTGGGATGTAATAAGTATGTGTTTCTTAATGAAGTATGTTTTAGTGCCATTTTATTTTAAGTATGAAGTATATTTTTTATGATAATTACGATAATATCATGTATTGCAAATATTTTGGTAAAGATAATCGTGTTATTAAATTTTCATATCATCCAGTGCAGGAGCACCCAGAGAAAACCCACAGGAATGAGGGGGACATTCAAACAGACACCAGCCGGCCAGTAGGTTTGAACCCAAAACCTTCTTGGCGCTTACCACAGCACCACCTGATGCCCTAAATTGCCCCCATAGGTGTGACTGGATGCAACTGAAAAACTAAGCATTACATTATGAGCTTTCTTCACCGAGATCATGGGGCTGGTAGGTTCCCACCCTTTGCTTATAACATGACAGCAGGACTGATAGTGTAAGTCAGCAGATCCGACAACACACCCACTGACATTTAGGGATCAATGTCCTACAAGCAGTCACAGCTGTGGCTGTGTTCACCAGTCCACAAAATGTTCATTGTCTTAAGTCATCCATTTCATCCAAAATTGTCTAAATGTTGGCTCCATGACAGCTTGGCTGAGCCAGCGACAGCATGTAGGAAAACAGGACACAATGATGGGAAGAAAGACAAAGATGACTTGATTGGTATTTGGGGAAACAATTGAATCCAGTCAAAGTCCCACAGCATACAACAGAAACATATTTGAGAAGCCTATAGTAGACTTGATAGCTTTTGTCACAGTGTTTTCAACAGTTCTGTCAGTTCACATTGAGTTCTGGTGCGAGTTTTAGCCTTGAGCAAACTCAGAAAAGTCAGAGTGGAAGAATCATAGTTTGACAGTCAAGGAAATGTCAAGAGTATCTAAGGTACACAACACAATGTCACACTGTTACAGCTTCTTGTAAAGCTGAATGATGAATGGACATTATGCCTAATACTCTTAATGTATAGTTCAGAAATAACATATTATTACAATGGATGCAAATGTACAAATGAGATCAGATCCCGGTTGGTGTCATATGATACCATGCTATCATATTGTGAATGTGCTACCATGAGTAGTTCTGCACATTTAACCACTTAGTAACATGCCATCCGTCTGCTTGACAGACAAAACCAAGGAAGCAGCTGGAATGTATGGATTCCTCTATTAGAACAACAGCCAAGAGGGATTTCTAGACTAATCAACAGCATTGGTGACCATTGGTGACTTGGGAGGATATAAATGTGCAACAACTGAATGCAAAGCCATTAAGGTACTGACCCCACAGGTTCCATGTAAATGCCAAGCAATACTTTAAGTCTAAATAGCTGACAGTTAACAATGGTCAACCTCTCTGTATTAAATTATTGAGGGAAGTGAATGAC